TTTATGAAATGAGAAAATCTAATTTTGCTTGGTGTATCTGACAGATTTTTAAACTAATTCATCCTGTCAAATGCCCTGGTAAACCCAGCAGATGGTGTTTGTGTAACTGAAAACCTTGTTTTCTGCATGCACATTTCTTAAAGAGCGAGACCTTCTTCATTTAGATCAAAATGTTTTCTTTTCTTTTTTTCTTTGGGAGAAGGAACATCGTCTCTACCCATCTCTCATTGCTGTCTTGTTTAATTTAGATAAGCCAAACAAACAAATTGGTTGTTAGTCTTCAGTTTATATTTACTTGTTCTTTTATCCTAATTAATTTAGAGTTTAGAAATCCTTCAATAAACAAAATAAACACCACAAATAGAAAGCTGGAACTCTGAGAGAGGGTTGAACTGAAATATTGCTGGCCCTCTATTAAAAATAGGATTGGTGAATTGGGTCATCCACTTCCAATAACATGTGTGCACCTCCCTGACCAGAGCTAGAAAATACTATTTTAATACTATTTTCTATTTCAGCTGGCTGACCAGGGGATTTATTCCAGGGAGGAGGTGTGGGAGAACTTTAATCAACAGCTTCAGAGGCTTCAGTCTATAAAACCTGCAACGAAACCAGTAAAATTAATAACATACATACCATAACCTACCTCGAAGAATCCCATCAGGAGTTACAGTGCAGAAGTTTATTGTACATGAGAACAAAACTGTAATATTCAGAGATTTACCGGCACAGAAAATGGTATTGCTTGCTGTTAAGGAAGTGTTTCACATTTTTGGAAATACTTTTATTCAATTTCTTGCCATGAGTTAGCTGAGGAGACTGATTTCACTATCATACCTGTATGCATGAGGCTACCAATAGCAGCCAGGGAGCTTAGCTTAGCACAAAGACTTACCAGAGTATATGTTGGAGCAGGGAGCAGGGAGCAGCCCACTCTCATTCCCAGGACGTCAAAATACGGTTGCTTTGTCACGCCCTTGTGCGTCTGATGCTGACGCACAAGGTACCCTTTAGTGTCTGCTACAATGTAAACCCATCCACGTCATTCAGACGAAGGGTTCTGGACCCAAACAACTGGGTGAAACAAACACAAGCCTTTGAACCAGGAGACCGGTGTTCATGTCCCACCATGTTGTTGAGTTACTTTAACGATGTTTGTGACGTGTTTTCTGAAATGATATTACATTGTTCACTCTTTACTTAGTTTCAATAGTTATTTCAAGCCCAACCATGATGTTGCTCTTAAGTGGTTTTGTTGCCTAAACATAAGCAAGGGTTATTGATTGAAACACGTGTTTACTCTATTGCTGTACGCTGGGCTACCCAGTGTGTTAGAACAAAGTCAACGTGACAACGTGTTGCGTATCCAGTAACCAGTGGAGACGTCACTGCTCACAGCTAAAAAATATTCTCCCTGTAAAAGAGAAACTTGACATTTTGAAACCTCCATTATTTTATTTGGACTAAACAGAATATAACGGGCTAGTTTGTGAGCTTTAGAGGTGCTGGTTGGCAGGTATTGTTGCAGTTGGACAGAACCAGGCTGGCTGTTTCCACGTTTCCAGGTTTTGGGCTAAGCTAAGCTACTGACATGTATTTAAGGACTCTAGCACGGAATTGTATCATCTTTCAAATGCCTGACATGTAAAGGAAGGCCTAATTATTATAATCTCTGTGCCTTTGATACTGTTTTCTTCTGAATGAAAACACATTTGCTATTTTGTTATTGGGAGATAAGATATTGCTGAAAAACAAATTACCAACTGAACTGACCACAATGAATCACTTATCATCACTGAATGAATCACAGCTTTCAGCAGTGGAACTCCACTCACTGGTGACTGGGAGCACCGTTGTCTCTGCCCCGACATACTGCGCATTCATTTCCAGCTTAAAAGCTTATTTAAGGACAACAAAAGTCACATAAACAATCATGACCTGATAACTCTGCCTGCATGATGAACTATTGACCTTATAAACAGCACTTGTAGTGGCACGGTTTTTACTGAACGGAATGTAACAGCTTGAACCAGCAAGGTCAGTGGCCTTAAGCGTAATTGAGGGTCGAGAGTGTCCACACAGCCAACGTGATGTCACACCACCAGACACGACCCTTTCAGTGGGTTCAGGTTTTTGTTTCTTTGTCACGATTCTACTTCACACATCAAATCATGACACTCCACCTATCGGTCTAGAGTCAGTTTTGCACGTGAAGGGCCATATTTATAACAGGGGTAAACGAGTAGGTCAGTCTACAAAGTATAAAGAGCTTGTGGGGGGGGGAGTTGGGGTGGTTGGTTGAATCCCCAAAAACGTGACTTTCACCCAGGAGACATTGACTTAGTTTAAGTTACGTATTATTACATATCTGACGCAACGTTGCCTACTTAACTGCGTAACAAATGCATTTATTTGAACCGTATCCACAATATTTTCTTAATCTAAGTCATTTTGCTGCGTAAACCTAATTTAGTTGTTTTCTGTGAACACAGAAGTTTATTTTGAAAAGACAGTGTATGCATGTAATGCACACCTGCTACACTGGTGCTAAAGGGGTACAGACACAGGGCTACAGACCAAGCTGCCACATCTGACGGGTCGGGAGTGAGAACGTGTTTGAACTTACTACTGAACAGATGACAGTCGGAATCACTGCCGAGTGTCGTGGTGATATGAGCGCTGACGTAATCTCTTATCTTAAACAAAAAATCAAGGTAGTGACTAAGAATCTGAAAATTAAACTGAATAAAACCACCCAATCCAGTAAAGCAGCAACTGTAATCCCCACCAATGAGTGATATCTATTTCCTTCATCTAACTCAGCAAGAAAGAAAATGTCACTTTTAAACATCCATATCAGTCCCACCTGAGCTTAGTGAGTGGAGTGGGGATTCAGGGGTTACAGGTGGTCTTCCCCAGCACAACAGGTGACTTATCCACGGTATGCGAACCGTGACCAAACTCATCCCGTGTGCATCCCGGCCGACTCATTGTACTGCAGAGAATGAAACACCGAAGTCAATAGAAACGAATGGAATTGTCAAACGACCAGCCGTCAGATCCACACTGTGGTTTCCAAACCCGTGGAATACATTTCCATTCAACTTTTGTGAAGGTCTTTTATGGCAGAGCAACAAATCCCAGAGGAGCTGTGGTATGAAAGGATCTTCCATTAATAATAGAATATTAGCCCACATAAAGGTGAAGGACTGAAGGATTGTGTTTTCAACACTGCAGGGGCTGTAAAGTGCACAGAGGTTAATTCTCTGATCCAAGGGTAGATTTGTATCATTGTTTGTAGATAGAAAGGTTTTTTTCCAGGGGATTGGATTCATGTCGTCTCTCCCTGTTCCTCGGAGCACTGTGGTGGATTGCCTGGTCTGATTAATCTTAATGAATTATGCAAATAGCCTTTATCTCAAATGATTTAGCCATGTTTCTGTATTGTTTTATTAATGCACTTTTGAATTACTCTGTATAATCACGTAGCCTTTCGTCAGCCGCTCGCTGTTTGTAATTCATCGGCAGCTCTTTATTAAATCCATGGTGGTCTCCGGCGAATTGCACGCAGGAATGAGAAATTAGTCATTACTGTAATTTAATGATTTCTAACCAAACAAGAGGCAAACTGGATCGCTAACCATAGCAGCCTCCCCCCCCCACCTCACACACACACACACACAGACACACACGCCTCCCCTTCAGCGCCGGTCCCTCGGGTCTGATCTTTGGGAGCGAGCCATCTACATTTCTGCTTAATTAATTATGTTTAGTATGAGGAGCATTCTGCTATGAATGCACTGTTTCAATTACAGACGGAAATTGACTCACAAAATATGAAATTCCCCATAAAGCAGTGGTTTGTTTGGAGTCTAGACACCCTTACGATTGACAAAAGCTTTCTCTGCTTCATCATGTTGAATTATGCTTTGCCTTGTATCAACCAGCCTTTGCAACATTTCTAGAGCTTCTCGGATCATCATTCCTACACAGATGGTGTGCTGATGTTTGTCTTGCCGTCATAAACATGACAGCTATACAGGGGGGAAAAAAATACATTTCAGAAATATCTCTTATTATCACATCAGATGAGGGGTCCCTGTATAATACACTGTATATATATATATATATATATATATATATATATATATATATATACATGCCATGGTTTCTGTCCCCAAGGTGAAAATGATGCACGCAGGTGAAATAAAAATGCATCGTCCTCCTCAGAGCAGCCTGCCTCAAACCTGTTTGGCTTCCACAGATAGGGGGGATGGAGCTGCATGTTGATATCAGTAATGATGGTAACCACATTATACAGTATAGACGTCTAAATGGACGGACATCTCATATGGCATTGGACTACACAGGTTCCTCTGGCTGGGATGGCCACTAGGGCGATATAATTCTTTTCTATTGTGCTTTGGTCTCTGTCTTTGTCCGTCTTTTTGCCGAGCCTCCTGCTGCCCAGACTGAAGGTTTATTTTCTGTAAGCTTTTAATGACACACACTAAAAATCCTTTTGGGATTTCTAACAGGCAACGCCTGTCTGGAAATCATCACCCTCTAACCGATCATTGGCTGGTGATGGGTAGCGTTAACTTAACACAACAAAAGCAGGCTTGGATGACGACCACATCTAGTTTTGGAAACGTATCAAATAGGATTAGGGGTTGTGTTCGGGTGAGAGCTATTTATCGGTCTCTCCCTGGACCAGAATTCTGATGGCTTTCTGTGAAGTCTGTTCATTTTAAGAAACAGCGCCGTGAGATTTTCCCCTCGTATTTTTGAACATGGCCCATTTTTACATTTGCTGAATGTCACATTTTCAGTTCCAACACAGCATCGGTTAGCTGTGCGTTCTCCTCCTCCTCCTCCTCCTTTTTTTTTGTCAAACTATTTGCTTGACCTGCTGATTTGAAGTCTCAATAGCTCCCGCCTACACAGCATTGTGGCCCGGTAGACAAAGAGCATAAACACAGACTGTAAAAAGCCAGATCTTTGTGAACATTGATATTCTTTGAGTTAGATTTATTGATATAATATTGACATTTGTAATCGATGGTAGTCACCAGGCTTTGAAAACAACAGATACCATTAAAACAATTTGGCAGAACTCAGCTGTGTTGACCCTTCATCATCACATTGTTGTTGTGGCATCGCCTTTTGTCTTTAAAAACAAGACTCGACATCCTAACGAACTTAAGAAAGCCAAACACTTGATAGTTTCAAATCAACAAAAACAGAATCAGAAGAGATATCTCTGCTCCATAAGGCTAAAAGGAATGAAAATGCTTATCATCTCATGAGATCTTCAACACAGATATTCATCATGAGTCCTGGGGCTCCTTGTGGCAAGAAAATAACACAAAAGTTTCACATCACGTGGTTTTGTTTTAGGGGTGTTTTTTTTTTTCTGGTGTAATCCATAGTCTTTAAGTCAATAAATATCTTCATGGTTAAGTCTTCTAGTCCATAGGAATAAAACTATTATACAAAGAGAGATCTGGTGGTCAGTAGAGTTCAGAGACAGCTACTGTTGATGCTGGATCTAAAGTCAGGAATATTTTTGGATATGATGTTCCCTGGTACTTTTCCTCCATTCGTTCGGTGGAATGCCCGTGATTATTGTCCTCGTTGGTCCCTGCTTTCCACAAGTCCTCAAAAACACACATGATATCCAAACGTCCCGCGGTGTTGGTCAAAGAAACAAACGTCTGGCTTCAAACGAGGTTATCCTTGAAACAGAGGACTATCGCGTGACCTGCAAAGAAAGAGAAAGAAAAAGAAAAACAGCGGTAGGGATCAGAAGAAGATTTTGTCAGTGACATGAATGGATGCTGGGGATAAAAAGAGATTTGACTCATTAATGATGACAAATAGTAGAAGTACGACTCTAAAAACCAGTGCTATCTGACATGCAATGTGACAGAAACCACTGAGAGAGCAGTGGAATAATTAAACTTAGTGTGCTTATTAGCTGAGACATCTTTAAATAAGCAGAAGGGAAGCCACAAAATTGAAAAAAGCCAAAATATTTTTCAAATTAGAAAGTCAAGTGTTGAAAAACAGTGGTTTTGTAAACAAGGACAAACTTCTATACACAGTAGTACAATAAAATATTAATAATTTCAAAGAATAGACATCACTTTGTTCAAATTAGGGCTGCAACTTAAGTTTATGTTATTATCGATTATTGTGAAGATTACGTTCTCGATTAACTAATAGTTTGTTGAAAGCCATAAAATATGGAAAACGTCGCACAACAATTCCCTTAAGCCCAAGTTGACATATTCAAACTGCTTAATTTCATCGATCAGAACCCGAAATAATTCAATTTACTAAAATAGGAGACGAAGAAAACCAGCAAGTATTCACATATAACGAGCTAGTAATTGCTTAAATGACAGCTCTCTAATTAGCAAATGTTAGCATGCTATCGAGCTAAACTAAGATAGTGAACTGAGTAAACAATACCTGCTAAGCATCAACATGTTGGCATTATCTCTATAATAGCATGCAGATGTTAGTATTTAACTCAAATAGCAGCTGACTCAATCAGGTTCTTGTCTATTGACCATTTATTAAATTGATCATTTCAGCTCTACTTCAAAATGTAATCTCGTTAAAGCAAACTCTTGTTTCGGTGCTGCAAGTCTCGAAACAGCCGATCTGTCAAAATTGTGACAGGTTCAAGGTGAGTGTATTCCCAGCTGGTCTGTTTATAATTCAAACATCTGCGGTGTTACGCAGCAGAAATGAGAAGACGGTGAGCAGCTAGAAGTCAGATGTACAGTAATGCAAATAACATAGTGCTCAATGATTTCCATGCAAACAGGGGATATCTTTATTCATGACGACACACTGCTGGCATTAGTTTTTCATGAATATTAATCTTAAAGATTGAAAGATGCAGTTTGGACTACCCTCACTTTAAGCAGAACACTAAATATACTCTGGGAGGAGAATGTTGTTCCTTGTTGGTTTGCCCTTTAAAAGTAGAACACAAGTAACTTTTTGACTTGCCCTCTGATGTAAGAAGCACTGTGACACACACTTACACACACACACACACACAAATAAACTTGCACATTACTGTCATTCAATTAGCAGTTGGTGTGGTCTCACCAGTTGAACCAGCGAGTGGCTTACCGCTCACAATCAGTCATCCGAGCGATACAATTCTAATATTTTGTGGAAGTGCAGCACGTCCTGCTGTTCAGGGAGCCACAATTTCATTTTCACTTCCATGTGACAATCCTCAGGAACCACTACGTGAGGGAGCATGTGAAAATGATTTGGTCTTGCTATTGCTGCAGCAGCCGGCTTGTCAACAAACATTCATGCATTAGGTTAAAACCGTGTTATTTGGTCAAACAGCATTATCAGATGTTTGTCGTAATAATCAACCAATAAATGCTTTTACAAACATGTTCGTTATTGTTGTTACGTACACGATTTCTATTTTTCACGCGTTCTGAGCTCTTTGTCATTATAAAAGAAACATGAAAACAAGGTAAGATACACAAACATGAACACAATTTTAATTGTAAGAGCAGCATTGAAAGGGAATTTCACTGAGAAATGGGAGGGATAAAAGACACAAAATGAACAGAGTAAAACAAAGCAATGTATACGGCGGCAGGAACAAACGTGTGAAGCCAAGTGAAGTCTCATCAAAGCAATTAGCATGGCGTGGTGCTGTGGTTTGTCACTGTGAGGGCTGCTGGTGAGTAAACACACAAAGGGGACTCAGGAGAACAGAGGGCAGATCCTCAGGGTTTGATGCTTAAGCCACTTCAGGATGAAAGAGCACAATTGACGGGTCAGCTGTAGGTTCTAAGACTCTACCTTTGATGGAGAGCTACTGAAGCACACGTGTGTGTGTGTGTGTGTGTGTGTGTGTGTGTGTGTGTGTGTGTGTGTGTCCCATAGTCATTATTATCTAGACAAAATTATTTAAAATAACTAAGCTCTATAATCTTTCAATTTCCTCAGTTATGAATGCAATCATCTTGTCTCATCCCTTTGGACTTTTATTGAAGAATATTATTTCATGGTTTTAATGTTGCTCTAAATTTGCAAATTGCATGTCAGGTCAGCCTCCAGCAATGTATCAAGGTACTATAAAAAAACAGATCAATCGTCGGTAGACTGAAAAGAGGAGCGTCTTCTCAGGCTTTCCATCGACTAAACATCTCACGTCGTCTTTCAGCCTTTTAACACTCAAAATCTGTTCATTCACACACTGTTTCTGACTGACAATACACTGTGCTATAATCTAACACACAGTATGGCTCAACTTCAGTGACATTAGCTTATTTAGAGGGAAAAATGAGACACATTTTGAAGCAGACTGAAACCACAAGCACTTATTTGTCTTTAAACAACTGCATGACTTATACCTTAAGGGGTTAACATTAATACGTTGACTGACGTTGGTTGGTAGAGTAGGCTGAGAGTACAGCTTCGAAAGGATCTGCAAATCAACCCTCTCATACAGGAGAGTTCTGCTAACTTCTTTGAAAGTAATTTCAAGCAATAGGAGAGTCTGACGTGCTGTTTTTAATGCTGTTGCTGTGAAATGTAGCTGGCAGGGTTTGTGGATGGGAAGCCAGCGAGGGATTGTTGTTATCACTGCACTAGCGACTCTTACAGGTTGGTTAGGGCAGCATTGCACTGCAAAGCGGCTTAAATCTGGGTCGATAGTACGAATGTCCACGTGAGTTACTGCCTCACAGTGACGCTTCGAATGTGAATATTCTTGGCTTGTTAATCAAACCTTAATTTAGACTTGACTCTCACTGTATTTTAAAATGACTGTAGGCAGCAACTTTAGCACCTCCATCTCACAATGCTACACCCCCAACCCCCACTCGGCAACAGTTGCAGTGGGAAAAGTATATGTTGCACCTTTTAACTTCTCTTTTTCATTTCCAATTAGGTCCTGATGCCTTTAAATATATATGTAGTGCTTAGATTGTTCTTTTGTTATATTTTTATGAGAAATAAACTTTTTGTCTTATGTGGGATTTACCTGCAGTCATAGAAAACACTGCGGATTCAAGATCGCTAGGTTATTATCTATCTTCTAAAATATGCGTTCTCATAGAAATCCCACCGCTCAACTGCACCTGTAAGCCACCCTTCACTGAGAGAAGGTATCTAGAGGTCAGCCTCAGCAACAGTCCAGGAGCTGACTGCTTAATGAGCTTCTGCATTCGTCCACCAGGAGCTACGTACATGCATACTGTGGTACGAAATGTATTGAGAATTGCATATTTGCACATAAGTGCAGAGCACAGGACGGGGAAATTGGCTCAGAAACAAAAACACAAAATGGTACAGTTCAATTTCTACATTTCAAGCTGGAAGTCATTACACAGTGGCTAGTAGTAACTTTTAAACGATAGTGGTTAAAAAAATTGAAGGTTTATTTCCATTGCGTCTTGAAAAGAAATCCACCTCAGACGGCTATCCGTCACCAACCCTCAACACATTCTGAACAAGCATCGCAGCACCTGTCAAGTGGGAAGGCTTTGTGGTTCTTTTGAGCTCTGATTGATAGGAAGTGAAACGCCGGAGCTGCCAGGGTTATAATCCCTGACATTACCAGCAGGACTATAAAACTAGCTGCTAGCGGACATGCAGAGAAAGAGCGAGCAACGGGAGTTGTCCGAGAAGGAGCCTGCAGGGTGCCACGTTGCCTGATTTATTGATGTGACTTCATCATGAGGTGAAATGACACATCATTCTTTATCAACAATCCCACCGCTGGACATTAAAGAAGAAATCATTTATATGGGGCATGTACTGCAACTGAGATGTTTGTTTACATCTCTATTGTGTATCTACTTTGAGAAAATATGAAATAAAAGGCATGTACTATAGAATTGCAGAGCTGTTTGATTGCTTCTTTTTTGACATTGAAACTGTTGCTCCTTCATTTCATTTTCTTCCGTCTTGATCGCCAGGTGATGCGATGATTTGTACACTGTGATCTGTAGGCTTCTGCTTTTTAACCTGTTTTTGCTACATTCTACACATGTTGTAAACCCTTCTGTCTGCTTTTCTGTGAGTGCACTTAGTGACAGTGTGGGCTCCATGGTAGGGGGCGGGGGGGCTTACTTGTGACTTGACTGAACTCTGGCACATCATATTTAAAAAGTCCAAATATATTTTCTATCAAAGGATGCAGCATAGGTAAGTTGCTTTAAAAGAAGCGGGATTACTTTTCTCAAAAGAAACACCCCCTGAACTCAATCTTCAGCACAACGCTCCGTTTGTTCCTCAGAATGATGTTAACTGTGCAGGAAGCTCGGGCACAGAGGTCCTCCAGCATACACCGGCTGTCCCTTGCCGGCTCTCTGTAGGAGGCAGCAGGGCCACGAGCATGCAGCGACCCCCGCTGACTTCCAAATCAAAAGAAGAGTCGAGGTTCTGACGGGTTCTACTAGCCACCTGGACCCCTGCTTGTCTGTGCCTCTGTTTCTGCTTTCCCGTGGCTGTGTGAGAGGGCATGAATTATTAACCCGGCTAAAATAAAAAGCTCTGCTTCGTCCATGCCTCCTGTAGCCATGAATAATGGAAGAGGCAGCTCAACTACAGGCGTTTGTTGAGTCAAACACTAGCCTGTGATGGATGGCTAAGGGCCCCATGTGCCCCCCCCCTCTCCCGCCTCACCTAGCATCCACTTCAGGTCCTCCACACCCTGAAACCCAAAACACGCGTCCAGATAACCTCTATTAATCTCAGGAATGCTACAGCTTGAGCCTTCCTGTCCTGCCTCAGCACATCCTACTCGACTATTTGGCTTCCTGGGGGGATTTTTGTTTGTTGTTTGTTTGTATTTCTCCTGCCTTCACTTGCCTTTGTTTTGCTTCTCGCTGGCACTTTTGAAGTGATATGCAAGCCTGCTCTGACTGTTCAAAGGCGGGACCCGACTCCAGCCTGCTCCCTTACCCTTAATGCTAAAACCAAGAGGATGAGGTGGAGACATGTGAGCTGGATCTCTGCTCTGCTCCCAAGAGGGAATGTTTTCCAATTTGTACCTCTGAACTCACTGGTGTACAATCATGCTGATTATTATAGAGGTGATAATTAATTGTTGTGTGCCACATGCGTCCAAATGTCATTCCTCACCTAAACCACCAACTGAGAATTGAGTGTTTTATGATGATCATTTCTATATTTATTTTATCTTTTTATATACATTCTGTCCTCAACTTAGAGTTCATTCCTGATCTTATTCATTATATATAATTATTATTATTCCTGTGCATCTGTCTTGCACACGTCCTTTCTAATCTGTAATTCAGATTTTTTTTGTGAAATTATACTTTATGTCCATGCAGACAGAAGACAAAAGATCGATGTCCCTTCATTTAATATCAAATCTCCATTAACATCTGCATTCACTCACTCTAGGGAAGCAATAGTGAACAGTATTGAGGCATCTACAGCACGCTGGTGTCTTGTTTTCAGGTAAATCATTGATTGGACAGTTTTGGCGACTGTCATCCTGCATCATCAACACTACATGGACCCATGTGGCGAATTAAAACACTGGAGATCGACAGCAAGCAATGCATCGTATCACTGCACCTTATTTGTTCATTTGTTCTTCTCCGATGAGCTCAAACAGAAATAATAGAGCATTATAAGAGCATTGTTACTTGACTCTGTACAGAATATCAGTGACATATTTCACAATATGATATACAGTACAGATGAACACTGATTCTCCAGTGCTACGTGAACAATTCGTCGGCCTCCTGCTCGATCCCCCAGTGTTGCCCGATTTCTAGATACCTGATCTACTTTGCCGAATTAGCAACTTAAGTAAAAATACAATAAACTGATTGTACTTAACCTTCCACAACAAATTACGAGATGTTGCCAAATAGATATCTGAACTTAACTCACCCCTTTTTAAGAAACACTTCACTGAATCTCCCCTGTGAGTCACATCTTCCTCTCCTGCTGCCTCCTACTCCTGCTGCTAGCTCTCATCTGAAGTTGATAAAAAAAAAAAAACTCCTCTAGTGCTATCTCGTTTCTTTCTTTTTCTAACACGTCTCAAGCCCTCCTCCATTATTCTAGGGTCACATTTTGTTCCAACTGTTATTATCCCAGGCCATGGCCGGACATTTACTCATCCGAATAAAAGAATATGTACCATTTTTGTGAATCAAACCCACCTTGGTTGTCTTAACTTTGTTTCCTGTACTGCAGCTCCATCCTTTGAGATCTGGCAGCACTTTACACTCTTCCCCATCCATGCAGGGATGCATCTGGCACCACCACTTCTGTGCAACTATGGATGCTGTGAGGAGAAGAATACAGTAAAAAAAAAAAAAAAAGGAGGAGGCAATTCAAAGCATGCTTTTTTAAAGTGTAGCTAGCTTCTGCCCTGGCTAAAGCAACAGCAAGTTCTTTTGGTCTCTATAAACATCACAGCGATTGAAGAGAGCATCTCTTGATCTCTGCCAGATAGAGGAGATCCGCCAGTCTTGCCCCAGTGTGTTTTCAGGTCTGAATTGCAGTGTGTGGGTCAATGTCAAGCCGGTGAGCGTTGTGAGCAGGTGTGTGAGCGGTGTGAGGAGGGTGAATGTTAGTATGAGGGGGTAACAGAGCGTGCAGCAGACGGTTGAGCGTGAAGGTCTTAAGTTGCTCCGAGGAGACCTCCAGGGGAGAAACAGCTTCCCCTGATCAGCTTCCCCTGTCAAATCTGAGGAATTCCCTGTCGGAGCCATTACAGTGACAAGAGGAAATGGCGATCGATGCACCTGTAACTGAGGCCAACCTTTGACATGATATTAACTGATCTGGCCTTCTGTTTACTCCGCTGAACACAAGGTCTGATATGGTCTCGGTAACGGACAACAGGGGCGAATGAATGAACTGGTGGGCGATTTGATTTTAAGGATTATAAAGCCTTCGAGACACAGCAGCAGGATCACAACATCCTTTTTTTTCTTCTTTCATACAATAAACCTCTCATACCCAGATAATGAGCACCGGAAGCTTCGTGACAGGTTTGACAGTTTTGTCCCTGCATTTCTACCCTGATCAGAAGTCAGTCTCATATCATTACCAAAACTATAATGAGAAGCCTGGCATACCGTCTACACAAGATGGAGCTGCTCTTGTTGTTCCCGCCACCTGTCCAGGGAAGCAGGAGCACTTGACAGTCTGGGATCTCTCTTCGATCTTGTTCTTGTTGCAGCATCGGTGTGCGGCAATTACCTCACAGGTTCCTGCTTTCACATGAACTGGAAGCACAAACGTACGCAATGGTTAGAATGCATGTGACGGCAACAGTAATTCCATCTTGTCACCAACCGTCAGAGCAACAAATAATAGAACGCTATGAATATTATGTTGGTAAACGTTGTGTTTTATGTTCACGTGTCAAATGCTTTTTGTTAGTTTTTGTTTGATCAGGCTTGTGTTATTCTAAATCCCATTAAAAAAGGCCGTAAACAACAGCATTTGTCTGTTCTCTCACTGACTTCCATGTCTGTGTCACTCAGCTGCAAGCCCGTGTGTTTCACAAACACATAGTTTCATTAAAAAATGTATTAAAAAAAGTCATTTTGTGAAATAGCTGGGCACTGTAGTTTTTAGCAAACATGACTCAAACAGGACTAAAAAGTGCATTTATTGGGAACTATTTTCATCTGCGGATTAATACATTACGGCACCAGAACGGCATGAATAGAGTTGTTTCAAAACAGTGCCCCTGTTTTAACTCGTTTTTGTGTGGCACAGTGGAATAAAATATATAACATGTATAACATATATTTGTCAACATTCCACTATAGTACTTGATACAAACTTCATACATACATCTTGAGCAAGTATTTTGTATGAAATTGTGAATAGTTCAACATTTTAGGAAGAAATCTTGCTGGAAGTTAGATGAGAAGATTGATACAAACAACAGCTAGTTTGTCTCTCAGCACAGTCCTGTTTCAAACATCCAACGGCTACTTATAAACCCAGGTCACCCCCCCAGGTGGAGGAGCCTGACTTTGAACCACAGTGCAGCTCTACCTGCCCACGTATCCTTGAGCAACATACTTAATCCACTGACCCTGCACCCCAACCAGAGGATGGGAAAGACAATTTCTCCATTGGGATAAGATTAATATAGTTATACAACATCAAAAACACATATACTTCTACAAAATGACTGGATTAACATCACTTAACTGCTTATTTACGTGGAAGAACATTACAATATCAATTATAAGGACGTTGTTTTCACTCCCATTAAGTTGGGTCAAACATCAATACTGCTCTCTATTTTATATTCATTACTTTTCTGCATAGACTCATCTCTATTCTGAGCATGTCGCTGTATTTACACGAAACAATCAGGATTGGACGGGTGAAAAAAATAAATAAAAAAAGCATTTGAAAAGTTTTGACATTCCTTTCAGATAAGCCTTAATTATGCCTGTAAAGATTTTCAATTTGGAACTTGACTTGAAAATAGATTGCAGAAGCTCCCATCTTCCCATTACCTAGCAATCCTGAAATCTCATCTACAACATTAAAAACATTTTGCTTCCAATCAATAAGGTGCTATTCACATTCCCACAAAAGGCAAGACAACAATTGCCGATTGAGTGTTTTTGACCGAGCAGAAACTTACTGATGCAAAAGCGGGTCAGGCTCCATGCCCTTGATGTGATTATCTTTAAGCCACCAGCCAGCCTCCCGATCAAAGTTAATTTCAAAAGTTGGGATAGCTTGAATAGAATATTCAAACTTTGTTTAAGAGATAGATGCGCACGGACAATAGGCAATCACAAAAGGTGCAATGAGCAAAGACAATCATTGTAAATAACCTGATTATCTAGAAAGAGCTCACTAATTGTATCTGGCCCTGCAGCATTACAAATCACAAATCAAGACGGCAACACAGTAAGATAATATTTACTCCTACATTCCATTTGAATTAGCTGTCAAAAATAGATAGCGTCAAGGGAAAGATGTCATACTGAAAGCCTTTAAAATGTTCTCAACCTTGTCTGCTAGTCTTGCACAATGATCGGCTTCATTGGATGTAGTTTGGCCGTATGTACGCCCACTCTGCTGTGATGTGGAAAGGAGGAGGGAAAAGCTACAGAGCGAGCTGCGGTTATGTCTGGTTTGGGACTCTCGGCTCATTAAGGTGCAGGAAGCGGCTGGTTGGGGCTGCCCGTGTGGAAAGAGCTGCTGATTAAAACTGGAGCTGCTGGCGAAGGTTGCTGACTCTTAGCCTGGACCCTATACTGCCATGCAGTGTAGACAGGATGAGAGGTCAGAGAGCAGAGCGCCGTGGTCAGACGAAGTTGGTAACGATCCGTACGAGAAGAAACAACCATGAACTGCTGTTGTTACGAAAACGTAAACTTGGGGAAGAACAAAACAAAACTGAACTAATGAAGAAAATAAATATTACTACAAATGTAGACATGGAGCGCACCCGCGAGTTAATTAAATGGAACAATACATTTAAGAGATTAACTCGTAAAATTCTCAACATTAAAGAAATGGTTTTGCATTTTGGGAAACACACTACACATTAGCTTTTCATGCTAAGCTATAAGAGCGTTAGATGAGACGATTGATCCCGCTCCATTGAAGCTACGGCCAGGAGATAGTTAGCTTAGCTTAGCATAAGCCACTGTAAAACCACAACTGTATGAATTAAACAAAAGAGATAAAAAGTGTTAATTAGTGAGCTTTAGAGGAGATGAAGGGTGGCTTTTTATCTTAGGATGATGCCATATTAGTTTCGCAAGAAGTTTCCCAAACTTTTTCACTCAGGATATTTTTTTTTAAATGTGGAAAGGATGATGTAAAATTTGTAATCAGCATACTAGTTTCTTCCCTCTCTTTAAAATGTGAGAGGAATTCTCCTTTAACTGTATTTTATTTGTTTTGCATTTTATTGTACATTTTATTCTAGTTTGAATTGAAGTATTCTTATCATTCTTCCTCTGTGTTCTGATTTTGAACTAGTTTGTTCGAAGGTAATGACTACTAAAGGGTTCTGGAGAAGCATTTTAGTGCCAAGAACATTTTATGAATAATTCAACATTCATTCATTATTTAGAAAACACTTTGGGCATATTTCACACAACCAGAGGTGTATATATTACTTCTATTTACGTCCTTTAAGTCAAAAATACATGAATGCATACAGCTGCGGCTCTGGGCTGTTAAGAGGTCCATGTTTTGCTCAAGGACAATTTGACAATGGTCGGAGCACCATTGAACCTCTGGTTCTCTGGTTGTTCAACCACCAGGGTCACCCTGTTCACAGTACAAACCATGCTCTTTATAATGGGAGCCACTGAGTGTGAGAGTCGTGAAGTGCAACATACAGATAGGCTGCTGGGCTCTCTCTGTGTTTGTGTGAATGGCTCAAAACACCTGTGATCAATACATTTCTATTAAAGCACTTAGGACTGTCATCAGTTAGAATCACCAGGCAGCGACATCAGCAAGAGGGAGAGATGAGAGACAAAGAGAGGTGAAAGGACAGGGACCACTAATGAGAACTGGCATGAGGCCCAACCCCTCAGCCAATCAATACCACTCTGAAGCAGATCACTCTGCACTACAATCATACGCATCGATCCCTGATTGATGAATTCCAATATGCAACCAGAACCTGCACAGAGTTGGAAAAAAAAGGACAAAACGGTAAAACAAACTGTATTAAGACTGTGATGAAACATGAAATCTATTTCTATGTTGTCACATTTGTTTTTTTTTGTTTACGCTTTTTATTTGGTGCACAAATATTACATTCTCTATTTGTGTTCGTATTGATTACATTGGTTAAGAGAACACCAGTTCGGTTGCATGGTCCTCATCTATCCCTCACGTTTACGAATATGCCAACATTCACGTCACTGCTAGTTGGAGTAAAATTCCCTCCTCTTGTCGAGCCTTTACAGCTGCAAAGTTATGTAAGGAAAAAAACACAGGCAATTCAATGGAAGTTGGCTGATAGAAAAACCTGAAATAACTTGAAGTCTGCAGCGGGTGATTTAAACAGCCCAAAACATCCTTGGTACCCGTCTACCAAGAATCCGTGATTTTGGTGAGATGAGGTGCCCGCGCAGAGTCCAAAGGAAATTAAAAGAGAACACCCACCCCAGCCACAGCCTGTTCACCCTGCTGCCATCAGACAAGCGTTACGATATAAAGTATCAGCTGTACTACCAGAGTACAGAGCAGCTTCTTTCCTCAGACTGTAAGTCCTCAACTCATTCTCCTTACATTATAAATGTATTTTCCCTCCTTGTGTCGTATAAAGAGACTACAACTTGCACGTACAAATGTATAAAAAGCAAAAGAGGAAATCAGCGAGTAGTGATTAAATAAAACTGATAAAAAATGTGGCTATTTCTGACAAGCAGTCAGCAGTTATCAGTCAGTTATTCAGAAAACTACTGTGTGTCAAACACTGTGGGCTGCACAGCACTGTGCATTGGTTCATGGTAAATAGTGTGGCACAACTAAAAGAAGAAAATACAAACCTGCCATTAGTTGTATGAGGATACAGTGCATTTATAAATAAGACCTTGCAGTGTGTGAATCCTCTGACAGATGAAAAAGACAAATTTACGGATGCACTCTCCTTTCAATTTGCATATTTAGCCTGTCACCCGCTCCACTCTCTTTGACTTGATATTATGTTATTCATGCAGCAGTTCACTGACATGATGACAAAAGAGGGGCAGAGTAAAAGAAAACCATGGCTTTATTATGTTTTTTTCGGGTATATTTTTACTTTTTGAGGCATTTTGTTTTCACATGGTTTTATGTTCCAAAACTTCCTCCTGAATGACAAAACCGGCTGCCAGTCACTTTCACCCACAATAAATTAATAATAAAGAGATTTGATTGAGTGACATTAAAAGCATTGATTATACAGGGATGACTTTTCTTAGAAAGTGAGACTTTCATATTAAACAAGTATACCATTGACTATATTAGATCTAAGGTCAATCTGACACTAAATATGTATTTTTTATGTATAGACAGGGTTTTGAAGCTGACCTTTGTAAAAATCATCTTATGTAGGCCACGTATACATTAAAAATAGGCAGTAATTCGTCAAACTAAATCCGGTCCCAGCTCAGAAAGTCCTTGAGAAATCCCACTGGACAACCAAAACATTAACGTTGCTTAATGCTGTACATTCATTTGTGGACTGAAACTTGTTGCCGGTCACTGGGAAAAGAGCTGTCCTGTTGTCCTTATT